GGGCAGGAAGTCCCAGGAAAGGTGGGTATTCTTTGCATTCTTTGCTGACCCAGGAATGAACTAAATTAAGAGAAACCATCTGGAAACGTAATCCTGGTGATATAGCAGGCACAGATAAGGTCTCAGCACAGAAGCCGGACACGTGCCACTGGAAACGGCAATTTGAATTATCTGCAGCTGCTGTTACATCCTGGTCGGCACATCGGGGAGAGAGGCGCAAAAGCTCAGAGAGTGGAAAGTGTTGAAAGGAGTTTGGAGCAGGACTGGCCAGGTGCCCTGCATCAACCTGCGGTGAGTGAGCCAACTGCGAGCCTTCCATAGAGAAGGAGGCTTCAGTGGAGGACATACTCAGACTGGGCAGACTACCCGGAACGAGAAGCTGCAGTGACTTCAGTCATATATCCCCCCCCCCCCCCACTCAAGCAGGATTGGTGGGGAGTGCCTGGCCTGTGAGCCGCTGTTGGCTGAGACCCAATAGGCTAGCTCAACCCAGGTCCCAGTGCCAAGAGGTGCACCCTAGCGGCAAAGCCTGCAGTAGGTTGACCTGGATGAGTGGGCCCACCATAGGCTACCCAGGTCTGTGTCTCCCTGGTGCCACTGTGGTGGGCGGGAACACCTAGCTGGCGCAATTCAAACAGACTGTGGCCAACAGGGAAGGAAGCTGGGCCTCTTTTTTTTTTTTTTTTTTTTTTTGTCTTTTTCCTTTTTATTGGTACTGGGGATCGAACTCACAACTGCCTGCTTGCAAGGCAGGCGCTTATGCCGCTGAGCTAAATCCCCAGCCCCAAAGCTGGGCCTCTTATACACGCTTAAATATAAGGAACAAAGAATATGGGAAGAGGGAGCAACAAGAAAGGGTCCTCGGCCCCCAATCCTGAGAAACATGCAATAGTAGACATGGCACCAATAAACATAAAGCGCCATCTCCAGAGCCTCATAGACGAGTTCAGGAATGAAGTTATTAATGACCTGAAGCAAGACATAAGCAGAATAGTTAGAGAAATGCTAAGCACCGCCCAAGAAAAAACAGATGGTGGAATGGAAAAACAAAAAAAGTGGGGAGAATTGTTTCATGGAGAAGATAGAGAAAACATAGAATACGTAAAGCAGGTTCAAAGAGATTACCAGGAAACTAAAAATTCTATCAAAAACTGGCATAACAGCTTGAAAGAAACTAAGGACAGATTATCTGAACTGGAGGGCAGAATTGTAATGTGGGAGCATGAAATGAAAAACTTCTTAAAAATAGCAAAAAAACAAACAGCAATAATACAAAAACTAGAAGATGATAAGAGGATCTATAACTTAAGAATTAAGAACATAAGAGAAGAAGTGGGGACACAAACAAATGGACTACAAAAGCTATTCACAGAAATAATCCAAGAGAATTTCCCTAATTTGGCAAATGGTAAAGATACTCAGATATATGAGGCATACAGGACTCCAGCCACCTACAACCCAAACAGAGCTACACCCAGGCATATAATAATCAAAATTCCAGAAATCCAATATAAGAACAGAATATTAAAAGCTGTCAGAGACAAGAAACAGATCACTTACAAGGGAACACCCATCAGAATTACAACAGACTTCTTGGCACAAACCATCAAATCACGAAGAGCTTGGGGGGAAATAATTCAAGCTTTGAAAGATAATAACCTCCAGCCAAGATTGATATATCCTGCACAACTGTCCCTAGAAATTGATGGAAAAACAAGGTGCTTCCAAGATAAAGAGAAACTAGGGGAATTTGCAACCACTAATTCAACTCTACAGAGAATACCTGCAGGATAGTCTAAAAAAGGAAAATACCAAGATGCCAGAAATAGTGGCAGAGAGGCCACAATGAATGGAGCAGAAAGCGAAATGGAGAAGACAAACTGACAACAAATGACAGAAAAAGAGCTCAACAGAAATGAGGCAGAGAAGATCGGAAGGTAGGAACAGCAATTTTGGAGAAAATAAGACATCATAATAGCTAGTGCTGATGTAGTATCATCTTGTTTAGAAGTCCCATCAAACATATATTTTTCTGTTTCCATTGGTCTTAAAAGGTTGTATCTTATTGGATTTTATTACATATGATAATATAAGCAAAAACTTTTATAGATGAGGAATTCATATAGAAACCATTGTTCATTTTCTGTCAATTAGTTCTAAATGCCCTGTAATAATGTCATCCTCTTGAATGGTTTTATAGTGTCTTGATATGTTTGGTGCTACATTATAAGTTATACTTGAAAGATTTCAAGGAAAGAGACACTATGGTAACTATTTCTATGTCAGAATATCTTGTGGTGAAACACTATTTTGCTTAAATGGTTATGATTTGACCTGCGCTGTTCTGTTGTTATGCCCTCTTTTATCTCAATCTCCCTTATTTTTAATTATTTACTTTTTTCTTTTTATTTTTTAATTAAGGGAAAAATAAATAAAAATAGCAGGATACATTATAGTAACCTACTTTGATTTCTTATTAACTTGATTTGGAATCCTGTATTGCCCTCACCGTCTTGTTTTGACTGATTTTCCTCTATTCTTCTTTGCTTGATAGTACCAAGTTCAAAAGTATAGGCATAACTGTGAGGACAATAAGAATCATTATGATGCCCTTTCCGGTTGACTATTATTTTCTTTTAAAATCCTGTAATGTCTCCAGTGCTTTGGTTTTATTCTTTACTGTTTAGTTCAGTTTTATTATAACTGTCAATTCTTCTTAAAATAGCAAGAGGCAGTATGGTAACCATTGTTGATCACCTTATATTTTGTTTTTATATTATCTATTATGTCCATCCTTTTGATTTGACTGACTCTGTTCTGATATGTTGCGTTTGGTTTTACTCTCTTCAAAAAAAGTAATAAGAACTGTGGGAGTAATAAAACCCAAAATGTGTAATTGTCATTGTACAAAAGAAAAGAAAAGAAAGTGCTCTAAAGGTTATAACTGCATATATGTTTAAGTGTGTAAGATAGATAACCATATTACTGAGTGTTTTTTGGATCATTGAACAAAACTGTTTGCACTCTCACTGTTTGAAAGTCCACTTTATATGCTTCAAATTTGTAACTTGAACAACTATTTCTAAGATGAGAATACGTAATCTATTAAATAGAGATTTCTTACTGTTTATTTTTTAAATTTTGTATTACTTGTACCCTTTTTCTGTTTTTTTTTCCTTATTCTCCTTAAATAAAAAAACAATAGAGTTGTGTAACAGTTCTCCAAAACAATTTGGGAACATTTCTCTAAAGATGAAATCTTATATTTACTAGCAGTTAAACCCCATTGCACCCCAAGGACTCTGGCTCCACATGACGCTACTCTGCGTTTCTATGGATTTACCTCTTTTGGACTCTTCATATAAATAGAATCATTACAACATGTATTTTTGTGTGGTTAGTTGTTTTTTACTTTGCATATTTTTAAAAGTTTATCAGGTTGTATCATGAATCAGTACTTCATTCCTTTTTATGGCTGCATAATACTGTAATGCATAATAATATACTACTTTTTTCAGTATTAGAAATTGAACCTAATACCTTTGCACTAAGCTATGTCATCAGCCCTTTTAAAAATCAGTTATTTTTGTTTTTTTGAGACAATTTCATGGTATATATTCAGTGGCCTTGAACATTATGTAGCCCAAGCTGGCCTCAAATTTGTGGTGATCCTCCTGCCTCAACCTCCCAAGTGCTGGGATCATAGACATGAGCCACTGCACCGGCTTCGTTTTGTACATTTTGAAACATGGTCTTGTTGAGTTGTTAACCTGCTCAGGCTGAGCTGGAACATTCGGTGTTCCTGCCTCAGCCTTCCAGAGTGCCAGCATTATAGGTGTGTGCAATCATATCTGGCTTTTAATTCTTTTCTTTTTGCTGTACTGGGTCAACCCAGAGCTTGTTAGACAAGTCTGTAGTGCTGAGCTACACTTAGCCCGCCTTATCACAGTTTGTTTACCTGTTGACCAATTGACATTTGGGTTGTATCCACTTCTTTTTCATAAATATGCTACTGTAAACATTTGCGTAAATTTTTTATGTGTAAGCATATTTTCTCATTTCTCTTTAGTATGAACCTTGAAGTGGAATTTCTAGGCAAAATAACTATCTTTTGTTTGGTTTTTGTCTTTTTTTTTTAAACTGGGAATCTTGCACTTGCCAGATGGGTGCCATGCTGCCAAGCTCTATCCCTGACCCCATTTGTTTGGTTTTTAAGGTACTAGGGATTGAACTGTATTTAAACTGCCAGGAATTGCCAGGCTATCTTTCAAGGCTGTTGTACTAACTTATAAATACTTCGTAATTGAAACAATGGTCACATTGCTGGGTGTGGTGGTGCATGCCTGTGATCCTAGCACTTGGGAGGCAGAGCTAGGGGGGTTGTTGGGAGTTTGAGGCCAATCTGGGCTAAAAAGTGAATTCACAGCCAACCTGAACTGCATCGTGAAACAGTGTCTCAAAAGGACAAACACATAAATAAAAGCAAAAACAAAAAAACCAAATGGGCACACTGAAAATGCTTTGTATGCATTCAGCAAATCTTCATTGAGTGTCTATGTGTGAAGTTACATCTGTGGACAGAAAAACAGCAGCACAAAACTCTGTTGATAAGGGGCTTATAGTCTAGAGGAAGAAACAGAAGATAGAAACCATTGTAAACCAGTACATTCTGTAGTGTGTGTATGTGAAGATGATACATGCGTGGAGAATTAGAAGAGGGTTGCAGAGGTTGGCATTAGGACATTTCACAAAGGGCGGTGAGGATGGCTTTACTGTGGGGGTAAGAGCTGGACAGATTCCAAAGATTGACTGTGTGGGTAGCTGGGGAGGAGACTGCAGGGAGGGACTGGCTGGGGCAAAGGCCTTGGGTCAGGGAAGTGTGCTCCTAGCACAAGTATACCAGGGAGTAGAGGCATGATTTAAGCTCTCTCTGGCAACTGTGTGGATAAGAGAGTATAAGTACAGGCACCCTGGTCCATTGTGTTCGCCCTTCTTCACAGGTGTGGCCCACAGGGCTTTTGAGAATGACGTGGATGCCCTGTGTAACCTCCGGGAGTTCTTCAACTACCTGCCCCTCAGCTGTCACGACCTGGCTCCTGTCCGCGAGTGCCATGATCCCAGGTGGGCTGAGGCCAGTGCCTTTTCCTCCATTTGCTGGAGTGATTTGTCTCTGTCTGTTCCCTCTGTCCTAACAACTTGGGGATTTGCCCTGGTCGGGGGGTTCTGGGGGCAGGTTGTGGCACAGAGTCAGTGTGACTCCCTGGCTCAGCCATGATGGCTGCATGCACAGCCACATTTGATGGGTAGCTGTGGTGCAGGGGATGGGGCCACACAATCCACTTTCTAAGAGACACTCTGGAGTTTCCTAAACTTGGATTGTAAATACTTTACATTTTTTATTAGTACATGTTTGTCATACATATTTATCACGTTCATCATAGGGGATTTGTACATATATATAATAGTCTTGATTCCTTGATTTTTTTTCTCCCATCCCCCCCCCTTCAGTCCTTCTTCCACTCCCCATTTACAAGAGCTTTGTTTGCATTTTTCCTTCTGTTCTCTTTTTTTCCCCTTTTCTCATCCTTCTACCTCCCTTGGTCCTTCTTCTTCTGTTATGACTTGTGTTTAGATGTCCCCCCAGTGCTTCATGTACTCTTAAGTGGGACTTTTTCAGAGGTGGCTGAATCTAGAGTGTGTGATGCTGGGATTTAGGGTATGTGATTACTAGATTAGTTCACTGATTGGTCTGGTGTAGTTGTAAGTGTGAGTGCTACCTGCCCTAGGGGAATGTTGCCTGGGTAGAGTACAAAGGTCAGAAAGAGTGCTGCTGCCGCAGCCACTTACTACCTGTTGCTTGCTGTTTGCTACTTCAGTGCTGGCTGCCTTTTTCTTGCCCTGCTTTGCCATGGACTGTTTGTCCTCAGTGATGTTCCTCAGTCATACCATCCTACCTGGGACCCTCATGGGTTGAACCTAGGCTCCCACATGGGGACCCTTACTGGTTCAAAGCTACCCTGAAGTCATGTCCCCTGCAGGGGATACACAAGTAGCCCAGAAACAATTGGCATATTGTTTGTGGCCCTTTAAGGGCTGAAGTGTCCAAGTGGTCTGCCCCGGCCAGGGAGGTTGTGTATATAAATGACACAGCCAGAGTAAAAGGAGGACCTCACGATCAGTTGGAACCATAATAGCATTGGAATAGAGCTCTCTGTGATGTTGGTAGATGGGACTGTGGCCTGACAAAGGCCAGACCTGCACCTGGGGCACAGTTTAGGGGTCAGTATAGCTGCTGGCTGTTCAAATGTGTCAGAAAGGCCTGAGAACCTGTTGGAGAGAGGAGGCTGAGGGGATGTCATTTGCTGAGTGATTCTGTGGAGTGGAGCAGACTCTGGCTTGGGTTCTCTGCAAAGCTTCTCGATGTAGGAGAAAGTGTTATAAGGTAGGTTACTTTATAAATGGCTCATTATTCAACAGTATTCCAGGCCTTTGTTGCCTGGAATAAAGAATTGGATGAGACAAGCCAAAAATGTTGCCAAAAGTTTATTTGCAGTGTGTGGGGTGAATGGGTATGGAAGAAACCAGCTCTTGCAGAGTGAACTTGGGCAGAACAAGAGAAAAGGAAGGTAAAAGCAAAAATAAAAGTACACACTGCATCTGAGAAATGTAGCATGGGCTGTTGTGGGAGCAAGCTTCCCATGGTGTCTAGTCTTCTTTTATGTTGTCCACATCTTGTGGGAGCTTGAGAGAAGTTCTGCCTAAGGGGTCCTGGCATTGCCGTGGGATCTGGTAACTGCTCATTTTTCAGGCACTTTTGCTATGCCCTGTTTCCTATATCAGAAGAGTCACCAGTGTGTGTCTGACAGTTCGACCCAAAGTGATTCTCCCCAGGATCCTTGCTATATCCTACAGCTCCATACACCTGCGCCATACTCAGGAATAACTCAGGAAGACACCACCACCGAGCTATATCCCTAGCCTATTTTTTTTTTATTTTATTTTGAGAAGGGTCTTGCTGAGTTACCTAGGGAACCCCAACCTTGTGATTCTCTTGAGTAGCTAGGATTACAGCCTGTCACTATGCCTAGCTTTGTTGTTTTGCTTTTTAAAGAAGCTTTACCAGGTTTCCTAGTTACTTTTACATTGCTTACCCAAAATACCCAGAGCCCAAAGTTAAGAGAAGGAACGCTTATTTAGCTCACTCTTTATAGGGGTTTCAGTACATAATCGGCTAGCTTCAAGATGGGGTGCCTTGGTGGAAAACAGTCGTAGTGTGCAGAAAGTGGCAAAACAACAAAGAGAGACCAGACTTTTTTCCATTGTATGCAAGCTACCTGCTCTAGGGCAAGTGTAGCACCCACATCCTTAATCTCAGTATCGCATACTGTAGATTCAGCCAGCTCAGAAAAAGTCCTATGACTACACGAGACTTTGAAACTACATCTAGATACAAACCATAATATTCTGCCCCTGGCCCCCGAAAGACTCATGGACATTCCTTTATGAAAAAGGCATTTAGTCCGTCTCTTAAGAGTTGTCAAAGTCCTAACAGTTTCAGCATTGCTGAAAAGTCCAAGTCCAAATCTCCTCCAAGATTTGAAGCCAACTCTTAGCTGTGAGTCCCTGTACAAATGAAAAGAAAGTTAAAACACTTTCAACATTCAATGACACAATTTAGATATTTCCATTCCAAAAGGTACAAACAGGAAGATACAAAGGAATGGGACCAAAGCAAGTCCAAATCCAGCAGGGCAAATATTAAGTCCTGTAGTTCTATGTGTAGCAGCCAAGGCAGTCTGTGACAAGATGTGAGTTCCAAAAGGTTTGGGTGACTGTAGCTCTGCAGCACTGCCTGTGATTGTAGCTCCCATAGCGCCTCTCTTGGGCCTGCTCTGCACCCTCCTTGCAGCTTTCCTCAGATGACCCACATTCCTGGCCTCAGACTTCCACTACACCTGACTTCTCCACTGCACCTTTGGCTTTACACTCACAGCTTCACACACTGCCCTCTCAGGGTCCCAGGCCTTATTCTGAACTATAAGAGTTGTGAGTTCGGGATTCTACATGCAGCAAGACTGCTGCCATGTGGATGATACCAGGGTTTGCTGCCAGCCCTCAGAGTAGTATCCAGGCTTCCTTCTTGCTTTGCTGGAGGGGTAGAGTGTTTAGGTTGCTGAACAATCTGAATCGAATCCTGAGGAACTAATTTTCTAGGCTACCACCACTGGGATGAAGTGCTCTGGAGTTCTCAAAGCAAAGTCCTTCATATTTGCAGTTTTGAGGCTGTAAAGAATGGAGTCCTGATGCTTCTTGTGATGCTTTCAGGCCATCTTTTTTAAAATTCTGTTCCTCTTAGCAATCAAGATCTCTGCTCTATCTTACAGTTCACAGTTTTAATGTAGCTTTCTTTCTGGCCAAATTCACAGTGTTTTAAATCATTCTGCTGAGCTCTTTGCTCTTGATTCTCAACATAAATCTAACTAAAAGCCCCCAACTGTAGCAATGTCACCACCTCAACATTTGATTGCCTTGAAATTTCTTCTGTCAGATTAATTAGTCTGCCACTCTTAATCTCAGTCTCAGGCAAGCTCTCTAGACACAAGCAAAATGTATACATTGTCTGGAATCTTTGGGGGAGGGGACATCTAGATACAAATCATAATACTGGGTTACCTTTCCAGTGTGGGGTGTGGACCTACAGCGGTTTCTGCAGAACTCTTTGCATTTTTAGGTCTTTGTTCTTAATGTTACCAGAATTCAGATTGGGATCTTCTCAGCTGTGTCTTGTTCTCTACAAACCCTTTAATGCCATGCAGCATCCAAGATGTAGGGCATATTCAGAGGATAGATGAAATGCCACATTCAGGGGAATCAGCTAGTTTTTTTATTCTAAAAGAATACTAGTCTGGGCATGGTGGTACACATGTGTAATATTAGCACTGTGGGAGACTACTTTAGGGGAATGTGAAGTTCAAGCCTAGTTTAGGAAACTTAGCAAGAACCTGTCTCAAAATAAAAAATAAAAAATGCTGCAGCTATAGTTCAGTGGGAGAGTATTCTTTGGTTGAATCTCCAGAATCTCAATAACAACCATCAGCACCACTACTACCAAAAACTCTCCAAAAACTTGAAGGTATTCAGGGTTGACATTGTACTCAGGTTCCTTTCAGTGTACGTCTTTCCAGGTCCAGCAAGGACAGAGCCAGACCAGTCCCTGAGTCGTGTCTCTTCCTTTCCTTTCCCATGCTCATAGAAGGTGACTTGTTCTTCCTATGTTGATGATGTCTGCTTCTTTTCCAGTGACCGTCTGGTTCCTGAGCTTGACACAGTTGTCCCTCTGGAATCCACCAAAGCTTACGACATGCTAGATATCATACACTCGGTAAGAGTTGTGCCTGCGTGTCCTTGCTCAGCTACATGTGCTTAGCCTAGTGAGGAAGTGTCAGCCCTGGCCTGGGTGTCAGCACAAGTGAGCATGGGTTGGGCGTGGGACCAGAGGCCCCTGAATAGCATGTTTCAGGAAGTTAGTAGCTGAGGCCGTCCTGATGGCTCAGAGAGGGAGGAGGATATGTTGGACTAGCAGAGTCCCAGGTATCTTTGGGGTACACTCTGAGGCATAGATTAGGGCTCATGTCCTGAATCTGGAGTGAGGAGGCGACAATCTGCATTAGGTACGTGTGTTATGTATGTGCATCTAGATATCCCCTCGAAGCCTCACATGCTCATAGGTGAGATTTTTAGGAGATGGCTGGATCTAGGGTTGTGGATATAGATTATGGATGTGTGATAACTGAATTAGCCCATGGATTAGTTCAGCATAATTCTAGGTGTGGATGGCAGAAAGGCTCACCCTGGGTGTGGGTGGCATCAACCGATAGGCTTGTAACCTGGATAAAAGTCCAGAAGGCTTGCTACTTGCTTTCTCCTGCCTCCTGCCTGCCTTGCCATGGACTGTTTCTCCTCTGCTATGCCCCAGTATTTTGGAGCCAGCCAACTATAGACTAAAACCTCTACAAACCATGAGCTAAAATAAACTTTTTCTCTTTTAATTTTGGGGATTGGGTATTTTAGCTCAGCAGTGAGGTAATAACTTAGACAAATACCTATGTTGGAGGCCTGTTGATTAGGGTACCTTGTCTTTCTAGGGAAAGGAGCATATACAGCATGTCCTATGATAACCCATGTGGAAGTGTGCAGTGGACAGGAGCCATATGTAACTTGGTATAGCAGATCCTTGGGTTGATAAAGGGATGGCTCTGGGTGAATAGAGGCCTCTGTAGATGCCTGATGTCTTCCTCACATGCACATTGCCCTGGGCAGTTCATGTTCCACAGAACTTGCTAGGTGGCTCTGTGTGCTCTACCTGACCCTGAGCCTGGCTCCCGGTGACCTCTTCCTTCTCTTCCCTTACTTCGGGAAGCTTGTTGGCCTTAATATCGGTGCCCAGACTCTGTTCCTCTATATCAGGCATCTGTAGAGCTGTGAAGACTTTATGATCCAAATCAGTTTTTCTCCTTGTCCTCAGAGCTCAGATATGTAGAAGATGATGACAGAGTGGCTTTGTTAGTCAGCTTTCTGTTGCTGTAGCAAAACACTTGAGATAACCTATAAGAAAAGTTAATTATGAGTCATGATTTCAGAGATTTCAGTCCGTGGTCCCATGGCCTTTTGCTTTGGACCTGTGGCAAGGCAGAGCTTCATGGTGTGTATCCTGAGGCACAACAGTGCTGCTCACCTCATGACAGCCAGGAAGCAGGAAAGAGCCAAAGTCCCAGGATCCCACTCCAGGGCATCTAACTTCTTTCACTGGGCTCCACCACCTAACGGTTCTGCTGTAATACTACAAGATGGAGACCAAACCATTAGCATATGTACCTTCAAGGCACATTAAAGATATTAATCCAAACTGTGGCTTTCAAAATCTGGCTGACCTGGATTTACATTCTACCTCTGGAGGGTGGTAATGGGTTCCTGCAGCGGGGATAGGAAGCTTTCTTACCTGAACTGCTGTTGGATTGTTGAGTCCACTGAAATGAGGTACATAGGACCTGGCATGGCATCAGGTTCTCAGGAAGCACTGCTGACATGAGGCGGTGCCCCCTTTCTAATTTGTTTTTGCATAAGGGTGGCATGTGATGTATAAATGTTTGGTTGAAACAAATGCAACTCAAAAATGATGAGGGGGAAAGAGCATATCAGAATCAGCTCATTGATTGTTGTGAATGAGTAAGTATCCTTAAAAAGAGACAAACCAGTTAAGAAAGGTTAAAGAAACAGTGAAGGCATAATTACAAAGTAACCGCTAGATCAAAATACAGATCTTGCTAAATAATAATTTAAAACATCACTGGGAGGAAGATTGGAATTAGAAAAATCCCCATTTGGCAGCACTCATGGTAATAATCGAGTTAGCTAAGAATCAGCAGTGGACTAGGGTGTTTTTTTTTTGGTGGTACTGGGAAGTAAGCCTAGAATCTTCTCACTGAGATACATTTTCAGCCCTTTTTATTTTTTATTTATTTTGAGTTAGTTTCTTACTAAATTATTCAGACTGGGTTCCAAACTTATGATCTCTTGCCTCCACCTCCCAGAATGCTGGGATTATAGTTGCAAATCTCCACGCCCAGCTAGGACTGGCGTTTTGATGAAAGTTTGATAAGGAACAGGATTTTTATATAGTCTCAACGTGTTTCCCCACAAATTACTTAATTTAATTACATTGGAAAAATAGTAACTTTATACAGAGGGGAATCCTAGTAGATATGACCACCATTAGTAGACAAATTGACATTTACCACTTAAGATTCACTGAGAAGGTTGCTTCTGTGACATTGCTGCCAGTGAACACTTAACCTGAAATTAAAAATGATGAAACAATAGACAAACCCAGGTAGAAGGCACATTCTACACGTTCTACAAATTCTACAAAATAACACTTGTCTTCAAAGAAGTCATGACTGTATGAAAGACAAAGCCTAACAGAGAAAAAAATTCAAAGAGCCCAAAGAGACAAGACCTTTCATATGTCAGGTGATCCCAGGTTAGATTCTGGACAGGATTTTTGTTGCTTCTGTTACTATCAAGGATATTATTGGAGCACCTGGCAAGACTTGAGTTAGGTTGTATAATGGAGTATACTACTGTGTTAACATTAATTTCCTAAGTTTGAGGTCGCTCCAGTTACTTAGAGAATGTCTTTGTTCTGAGGAGAGTAGCAGTGAGGCCCTGAGGGATGAAGAGACATCATGTTTGTAACTTACTCTTCTTAAATGGGTCAGGTAAGAAATGTGTTATGTGTATTGTGTGTATGTTTAAAAGAAAGAAGTGAGTATGGAAGGAGAAGGATGATAAAACGTTTGTAAATGAGGCAGCAAGGTGAAGGGTACGTGAATAGTTTTTGTGCTGGTCTTGACATTTTTATATTAGTTGGAAAGGATTTCAACATGAAAGATAAAACAAATAGCTGTAAGTAATTCTAAATTCAGATCTAAAAACCTTTAATGAAGCTGCACAGTACACACATAGCACTCAGTACAATTTTCTGTTATGCCACTGTTGTCAAATCTTTTCAGTTGTTTTAATAATATCCTTGATAGACAGAGTTTCTCAATTAAAAATACTACAGACTATCAAAAATAAAAAAGCATAGTGCACGGAGTGCAAGGGTCTCCCCTCCCTCGTATCAGTTTGAGCTCAGGAGTAAATTTATTCTTACAGGTCGTTGATGAGCGAGAATTTTTTGAAATCATGCCCAATTATGCCAAGAATATCGTTGTTGGTTTTGCAAGAATGAATGGGAGGACTGTTGGACTTGTTGGTAACCAACCCAAGGTGGCCTCAGGTAGGATGAAGAAGGTCTCCTAAACCTTGGCTGGGGTTTGGAGGCCAGGCCTGTCCATGCTATGATACTGTCTGCTTTCACCCTTCTCTTCCCTTCCCTTAGACATGGCCTTCTATGACTAGAGGAAACACATGGTGGAAAAGTGACTTTCTCTTTTACTCTTAAATAGCTCAAAGTACCTATCTTGGTTACTTTTCTGTTGCTGAGACAAAATGTTTGATGCTCAAAATTAGGGAATTTGGAAAGGTATCTAGCTCACAGTTTGTGGAGATTTCAGTCTGTAATCAGCTGGTTCCAAGGGAAGGGTGGCCTGACACAGGGCAACCGTTTATGATGGCAAAAGACAGCAAAAGTGACAAGAGCAAAAGGGAGGAGTGTAAGAAACTTTCTGTCCCTTATGTTGCGTGCAGGCCACACCCACTTGGTGTAGCACTCACGTCTGTAATCCCAGCATTGGACCATGAATCACTCACAAACTATAGACACCTGCCCCCATGGCCACGTGAGGCTTTGTGGGGGACATCCAGGCACAAACCATAACAATGCCCCTTTCATATGCCCTTCTCTCCTTTAGGGTCTACAGATAATGTTCCTTCTTAGGTGCACAGTGTTCATTTTCTAAGATGCTGGTTTTCTGTCCCTGTGGTTTAATGTATGCCTCACCTACCCAGCGGTGAGCTCCATGCATGGAGGTATTGATGTTTCTCTCACAGTGATCTCTCTAGAGCCTTCGTGGTTTCTGCAGGTAGCAATTGCTAATCTTAACAAGGATCCTTTGTAAGGGAGGAGTCACTTTTCTTTTGCTATTTCAGGATTGTCTTTGACAGTTTGACTTACTGCATCTCAGTATGAGTCTTGAAATTTATTCTTCTTGGAGTTGATAGAGTTTCTTGACTTTAATCCTATTTGGGAGGTTTTCAGACATTATTTGTTCACATTATGTCTTTCCTCATTCTCCCCTCTTTCTCCCGCTTTGTCTTCCCATTCTGTGTAAGTTTGCTTACTTGATGGTGGCTGTAAGTCCCGTAGGCTCTATTCACTTAATTTTTTTCTTGCTGCTCCTATGACAGAATAATTCAGGTTGTTCTAGCTTCTTGTTCCTTGATCTGTCTGCTTGCTTACTTCTGCTGAATCCCTGTAGGGAATGTTTCATTTCAATTATTGTACTTTTTAGCTTCAGAATGTTAGCTTCCTTTTATAATTAATTTTATATTTTCTGTCTCTATTGGTATTCTCATTTGGTTCATACATTTTCATAACTTCAAATATTTGTAAATATTTTCCTTATTTGAATATATTTAAGATTGTTTTAAAGTCTTTGTCTAGTACACTCATAGTTTCCTATTCATTGGTGCTTTGTGGCTTTGTTACTATTTACTACATACTGTGCAAAGTCTGGCAATCAAATTTTCTACTTTTGCAGAGTTATTTATTAAATTGTTGAATGTTGTTGTGATCCGTTTGTCTAGCATCATTCACACTAGAGACTGTCTTCGTCATGTGTATTGATTGAAGTCCATATGTCTTAGTTTGTGTTCACCTAGTGTTTTGACAAAAGCTTCCTTAAACATGAAGAACTGAAATAAAGAAATTTAAAAAAACAAAGGAAAAAAACCCCAAAATAATACATCTTCTTGTCTTGAAAAGCAGCATTGTGTTGGAGTACTCCTTTAATGCTTAGCTAGACTTGAGTTGAGCTTTGGGATCAGCTGCAGCTGTAGGATAAGGTTTAAGATCTTATGCTGTTTGTTTTATAATGTTGTGATTTCATTTGCTTCTATCTCAGGGTATTTTCTGCTTTTTTCCTCATTTCTGAATTATTTCTGGTTGTGTATCTGTCTGAATTCTCCTGAACACACAGATCCTTTGAATGTACTAAGTTCCTAAAGAAATTTTCTTCTTGGCACTTTCTCCCAGGCTTTAGGAGAATTCAACTGGTCTTTTGCCCCAAACATCTATCTACAGGTCATTCTCTGGCTTAACATGTTTTTGAGCTCACTTTTCCAGCCTGAATTTGGCAAAACAAATGCCTCGTGTCAGCCCTTACAGGCTAGAGCAGATCTACACAGTAATTTGTGAATAGATTTTGCTTTGCATACTTCAGAACCAGTGAGAGAATTGCATTTAATTAAGAAATCACAAAATGTTTCCACCAGTTAAACCTCCCCCCGCATTTTAAAATCGCCTTTTTCTTGATTGAGCATTAACTTGATTGTTGTAAACCTTTGCCTATTTTCCAGACTCTGTCAAAGATTTTTCTGACATGTTTTCCATATTTCTATTGTGGGGAGCTTTCATTTTTCAGCTCTTACATTTTATGTTTAGAAAAGCATCTAAAGTTAGGAATTTAAGAATGCATTTGTTATAAACACAGTAAAATGCATAACTCTTAAGGCTCAGTTTGATAGGTTTTGACATTTGACAATTACACCTTTGCAGCCACCCACCTAAAACAAAGTGTAGACATTTTTATTTGAGTACATTCTTAGCTTCTAGGAGTGGTGGCATTTACCTATAATCCCTGCATTCAGAGACTGAGACAGGAAGATTGACAATTCAAGCCCAGCCTAGGCAACTTAGTGACTTTGTGAGATGCTGTCTCACAATAAAAAAGGGCTGATAGGATGAAAGGATGTGCAAAAGCTTTTGGTTCAATTTCCCAGCACACCAACCCCCTTTCCAAGTACATTCTGAAGGAGGTCTGTTGTTATTACTATTATTATTATTTATTTGTCTCTTATTGTTGGTTTCTAAGTCTTGCTGTATATTTTCGGTATGAATTCTTTGTAGATAAATGTACTGCATATTCTTTTTCATGGTCTGTGACTTGCCTACACTATGGTCACTTTTGTGCAAGTTTAAAAATGTGACAGGATTCTATTTATCAGTGTTTTCAGTTATGGTTAGAACTTTTTGTATCCTAAGAAATTTTTGCCCACTCTAAACTTGTAAGATTCATCTCATGTTATCTTCTAGGAGCTTTGTACTGCAGTTATAGGTTTAGTGATTAGGTCTATGATTGATTTTGAATTAATTTTTGTCTCCTAAACAGAAGAGGTGACTCCCCCTCTCCACCTCAATCACAAGTAATTTAGTTGTTCTCTACCGTTTGTTAGAGACTTCCAAATTGTTTTTGCTGCTTGGCCAGAAACTTTTGTGTGAATCTCTTTCTTCAGTTTATCCTGTCTCATTGTTATTTTTGTCTGTTTCTATGCCTATACCATCTTGTCCTAATTAGTTTTATGATTCTCAGCCAGGAGTGATTATGGAGATATTCGGCTATGTTGGAAATATTTTTGGTTATCACAGATGGGTAAGAGGCATGCTGGTGGTCTCTAGTGGGTGAATGCAAGAGATACTGCTAACCATTTTATATATACAAGACAAATCTCAACATTAAAGAGTTAGCTCCAAATACCAGTAGTTTTAAGCTTAAGAAATCTGCTTTATAAGTCTTGAAGTCAGTGAAAACTTATACTTAGGTATAAGTTTTTTATGTTTCCTTTTTTCTCAAATACGGGTTTGGTCATTCTGTCTTCTTTGTATTACCTTATAAAATCTGGTTATTAATTTCTACAAAAGAATCTCCTATTATTTTGCTAGGAATTGTCTTAAAAATAGATCTGTGTATAAGTGCTGCCTAGTATGCTAGTTTAGATTTATAGTTTAAATACAAAATAATTGGCTAAGGTCCTGCATTCAGTCTCCATTATTGGAAACAAAAGGAGTCCAAAATAATTAAAATATTATAAATAATTCAAATGGAATGTAGCTAAAAATTTACTTGCTTAGCCATAGGCATATTGAAGGTGCTCAGCAGCTGTGTGACCAGAGTTCATAGCCATAGAACATTCGGCATCACAGGTGGAGAACGGATATTTTAATAATATTTATTCTTTTGGCTCATGAACGTAGAAGATTTTTGTTAGTTTTTCTTTTCTTTTTTCTTTAGATTCTCTTATCATATTGCAAGAGTTTGGTTTAATCTTCACTTATGGCTCATTTTAACCATGAATGGGTATTGCTTTCTGTCGGGTTCTTTTTCTCTTCTCTACATCTATTCAAATGATCATAGAGAGGCTTTTCTCCTTTAATAATTTTATTGGACATTAGACATTAAAATAAACCTTGAACTCTTTCCGTAATCCCCACTTGGTCATGATGTATCACTGTATTTATATATTGCTAGATTTGGTTTGGTAATATGCTTAACTGAAAAGGTAAGGAGTTTTACATTTATGCTCTTGAGAGATACTGGTATGTGTCGTTTTCTTATAACATCCTTATACTAATTCGGCATTAGGGTCATCCTGGCCTCAGAGAGAAGTTGGAAACTTCCCTGGAGAGAGATTTACTAGTAATTGAGTTCCTACTCTGTGCCACTTTGCAGAGCCTCGGTCCTTTAATGCTTCCAAACATGCTAGAGATAATAATGTTCCTACTTTTCAGGCAAAGAACCTCAGGCTCACTTACCAAGTTATTAAGGTGTCTGAGTTACTTTTTTTGTTGTTGCTTAGACAAAATACCCAACACTGAAAGGTAAAGGAAGAAAAGTTTATTTCAGCTCACAGTTTGTAGAGGTTTCAATCTATAGTTGGCTGGCTCCAAGGCAAGGTGTCATGGCAGAAGGGTATTGCAGAGGAGAAACAGTCCAAGGCAAAACAGGCAGCAGACAGTGAAGCAGCAGCAGCAGCAGCACCACCACCACCATCAAGCCTGCCTGTTTTCTTTCTTTATATTCCATCAAGGCTGCAAACCTGTTGATTGGTACACATATGTAGGATGGAGCTTCTGTTATCCACGCCCTTAATCCCAGTGTCACACTGTTAATCCACATTCACACATTATAACCCAGCCACCACTGAAACTCTCCACCTGTGACCACATGAGGCTTTGGGGGGACATCCATATACAACTGTAACCAAAGGGTAGAGTTGGAGTCTGATTCTAACCTCTGAGGACCCTTAAGGATCAGTCCCTGAGCCACAGGTCCCATTGGTAGTGCCCTGGAACAAACCAGGCTGTGTCTTGGCTGGTGTTCACCCTTCAGTCTGTGGGGTAGAGCCCAGCTTTCTCTGTGGGGCTGTGTATCCAGCAAGGGGACCTGGGGGTTGAAGCTACCACTGGGCACTCTTTGGCCTCTGCCAGATTTGTTCTCCATCTTCCTCTTTTTTTTCTTGGAGTATAAGGGTTTCTAATTACCATCTGAGGAAATGGTGGGGTCTTAATAGAACTAATTCTAAATGGTTGCTGACAATATATTCTCATTGTGGGTGGAAATGGGAATTACCCAGATGCTTAGCATGGACAATCTCTCTTTCTAGGATGCTTGGATATTAATTCATCTGTGAAGGGGGCTCGATTTGTCAGATTCTGTGATGCATTCAATATTCCACTCATTACTTTTGTTGATGTTCCTGGCTTTCTTCCCGGTAAGTCATTACCGAAGGTGGGACTAGGAGAGGTGGCTTTGCCCAGTAAGACATTGAAATTTTATTTAAAGTTCTTTTTGCACAATTCCATAAGGATATGTGACGTCTCAGTATTTGGGTATCTAAAATTAGGACTGGCCCTGGAGTATGAGGGTTTCTAATTACCATCTGAGGAGATTGTGGGGCCATCTTCTCACATGGTAAGACAGAGCTGTATAAGGATTGGCTGTCTTTGGAGGTGCAAGAAGACCTCAAAGCTGTGAGTGGCCAGCAAACTTGGGCCAAAAGTACTGACTCTTTTTCATGACTCAGGCACAGCACAGGAATACGGGGGCATCATCCGTCATGGCGCCAAGCTTCTCTATGCATTTGCTGAGGCAACTGTGCCCAAAGTTACAATCATTACCAGGAAGGTAAGGCCCTTCTGTAACTTCAATATTCCTAGCCCCCAGCAGCATGGCCATTGTGGAGGTGTGATTGTCACCAGAGCTCGAGGAGGAGTACTCCTTGCTCACACATGTAGAGGCCAGTATTTACAGCCCTAGAGAGATGTCTGTGGTTTTTCAGCAGAGGGAACGGAAAGAGCAGAGCAGAAATGCCAGGAATGACATGGAATATTGACTGTAGATGACATTATAGATCTCAGCCCAGGAGGCTGAGCAAAGCCCAGGAGGTTGGCTGCTGTTCTTTGCCTCTATTTAATCAGTTTTGTGAAGTCTCAGAGATATGATCTGGTTGTCCTCAGGCTCTGACATCCAGCTTTTGGATCTGTTCTAGGCCTATGGAGGTGCCTATGATGTCATGAGCTCTAAGCATCTTCTTGGTGACACCAATTATGCCTGGCCCACAGCAGAAATTGCAGTCATGGGAGCAAAGGTGAGGATCTCTAGCTTTCTTCTTTCCTAATTAGATCAAAGGACTTTCCTTTCCTAGTGGGAGCTCAAAGCATAGTTGGTAAATGTTGGGAAGGGGTGAGGGGGAAGGGTAGGAAGCAGGGCTAGGTCTTGGCATGTCTTCCCTTTGGGGCCAGCACTGCCTCCTGTCCGCCTCTTACTGCAGGTGTGTGCTGATGTCTTCATAGCAGAAGACTCAGATGAAAGAACAGAATGGCAAGGGCCCCAGAGTAGGTTTTGTGATTGTAAGTAGAAAGGGGAGAAGTTTGAGTAAGCTGAACAAAAACCTTGAAGAGATCGCATGTCCTTCCCAACCCTCCCTCAGCACCACTGAAGATCCTGGATCCCATAAAAACAGAACTTTATTTCTGACCATAGTCAAGGTACATCTTGCTGTTTGACATATTCTCTGTTCCTTCCTTGCTTCAAAAGAGCTATTGAGATTGAACCAGGTAACTCCCAGCATCCCTAGAACTGACTTACAAGTGTTTTGATTTGAAGGCCAATCCTTACAGTTTAGTCTGTGCTCCTTTGGCTACCTAATTGTGTACAAGAACTCAGGGTAATGAAAAGGGAAAACCAAACTGTTAATTCCCCTTCTTAGAGGCTATAATGACGTTAATAGTGGAAAGTGGGCCAAACATTTTGGCCTAAAGGACAAGGAGTTCAGATAGAGAAGGTGAGCATATCAGTCAGTATTTACTAGAGAAAGAAATTTAATGCAACATACACAAATACAGTGGTACCTCAGTTTATGAATGTTTTTGCTTGTGAACAGTTTTGTTTGTGAGTAAGAGTATTTGGCAAAATTTGGTTTTTGTTTTTCAAATTTTTTATTGCATGATACAAAACTGGCCTTTTTTCCCCATATGAACATGAATGTGGCCATTTTTTTCCAGAATCATGAATTGAATTAAGTTTGTGAACCAAGGTACCACTGTATATAAGAATTTGCAAGGTTACCTTATAGTGGCTGCCTGCAGAGTCAGGTATGGTAAAATATAAAGGGGCTGTCTGAGTGCTGGAGCTACAAAGGATCCAGGCAGAGGCCTGGAACTTACTGTAGTGTCCTGTGCGAATTTGTATCAGGAGGCTGAACAGTCTGTGCTCAGAGGCTGAAGGGTTGGTGCAGGAGGTGAAAGAGTCCACTGGAAGCCAGAGACGATGTTCAAGGTGAAGGCAAAGACTGGAGCTCCTCTGAAGAAACAGAACTGAGTCTTCATTTTTTGTTTGCCTTTATTCCATTCAGGCAGCAAGCTTATTAATTGCTGTCACACCTAGGGTAGGTTTTTGTCTTCAGTAAATAGTTCAGTAAACAGAACTATTTAGTTGGGCTTTTTTTTTTTTTTTTTTAAACTCAAGTGGACACAGTCACTTAACTATCACAGTGGAATAGAATTGGGACCACTGCTGGGCATCCCATCTTGCAACCCCTGGAGTCATGAGGGCTGATCTCAAGTGGTACGTGTCCCTCTGCTTTTGTCTCTGGAGCTGGCACTTATTCCAGCACTCTTCGGTTTGTCAGGAAGTTCACAACCACACACGATGATTATGAGTTGATCAGTCTATCCTGGTTGGGACCCCACTCCAGGGAACCTTGTTATCTCTTGTGACAGGGTGCTGTGGAGATCATCTTCAAAGGGCATGAAGATGTGGAAGCTGCCCAGGAAGAGTATATCCAGAAGTTTGCTAACCCTTTTCCTGCAGCAGTGAGAGGTGGGACCTGGTGTGGAGGGCAGTTTTGTTCACTTGTTTGGGCTCATTTTTTCTCTCCAAAATGTCTTACATAATTGCCTTTACCTTTGCCTTCTACCTTGTGGACTGGGGAGGGTTAGGGCTATGATTGTTTATGGCTGACCAAGAAGTTTAGCAAACAGGATTGAAACAACACTGTGAAAGGATTACATTTCTAGGGGTTGTTCTTGTTATGTAGGATTATCTAAAAACCCATCCCAAATTTAGTGGCTTAAACTAACCACTAGTTTTTGCTTCTGGTTTGAGGGTCAGAAATTTGCTTTGGGCTCAGGTTGGCGGTTCTGCTTGTCTTGCCTGTGATCATGCCCACTGCTGTAGTCATCCTGTGTGTCTTGAGTGTGGCTTGTCAGTTTAAGATGGCCTCACTTAGGCACAAGGTGCTGGCTGTTAGCTATACCCTTACCATAAGATCTCCCAAGTTTAGAAGGCCAATTCTTGGCCTTTTTATGTGGTGTGTGTATAGGGGTAGCAGAAAGGGTGTGTGGAAGCTGCAGGAGCCTTTGAAGCCTAGGTTTGGAAGATGCACAGTGTCATATTTGCTGCAGTTTATTGGTCAAGGTAACTCAAGACCAGATAGAATCTATCTCTAGGTGAGAGAAGTGGCAGTCACATTAGAGGACTTGTGTACAGGGATGGAAAAACTGTCTGAGTCATTTTTGAAAAAAACAGATGTATTTTCTTCACTTTTGGTTGAATTTATCTTAGCAAAGTGGAAGCCTTGGAGAAGTATGGGTAGGGAAGGGGGAGACATTTTATTTTTCTTGCCAAGTGCTCCTAGGCAGCAGTTGAGGGCCTGCCAGGAGAACAGGCAGACTCCTGGGAGGCCACAAGGCCTGGTGCTTCTATATCACTGGGGCTCAGGCATGGTGACTGGGCTGAGCACAGGTAGGTTGGTGGCATCGTCTGGGCATGTGGTCATCTTTTCTTGCTGTACTTCACTAGGATTTGTGGACGACATCATACAGCCTTCTTCCACACGTGCCCGAATCTGCAGTGACTTGGATGTCTTGGCCAGCAAGAAAGTGCAGCGTCCTTGGAGGAAACATGCAAATATTCCGTTGTAAACAAGCCAAAGGGAAAAACAAAATGAGCTGAGCCAAGAGCTCATTCCTACCTTTGTAATCCTGAAAACCTGGAACTCAAAATATCAGTAATAACTTGGAATAGCTAATATTTATTAAATTCTAGGAAGATCTCTTTTGTGCCATGTTATAAAATTACTTCCTTTATTAAAAATCTTAACTGGTAACCAGTTTTTTGAATATAAATTTTCATTTTTTATGATAGATATCTGAGAAACCAAAAAAAAGTAGGAGGAAAACAGAATGTATCATCACTCAGGACTGACCATGTTTTGGTGCTTGAGAGTCAGGTGTCCCGAGGTCCATGTGTTAAGAGCTTGGTGTGAGGCGGGATTGTCAAGGGTGGGACATAGTGGGAACTCTTCGGGTCATTTGGTGGTGTGTTCTGTAATGGTTTGTGGGACCCTGTTCTCTTGCTTTGTCTTTGGCAATGTGATCTCTCCTCACAAATGTGCTCCTACATGTGATGCAGCCAGGAGGAAGTCATCAGAACCAAAGTGATGTTATCACCATGTCCTTCAGTCTTTGGAACCAAGCTAAACAAGCCTTCTTAATGAAGTTAGTTTACCATAGGCATTTTGATATAGTAATGAACACTAGGCTCAATGGTGGATCAGTTAGTTAGTATGTGCCAGGAACCACCAGCACGCACACACACATACAAAAAGCCCCCAAATTAAGACAACATTTTGGTATCTTGTTTTCCTTTTTTCTCTGAGAACAATTTTTTTTTTTTTTGTCTTTTTGAGACAGGGTCTCGCTATGCAGTTCAGGCTGGCCTTGAGCTCACTTTGTAGCCCAGGCTGATCTCGAACTCGCAACGATCCTCCTGCCTCAGCCTCCTGAGTGCTGGGATTACAGGCATGAGCCACCACGCCTGGCTGAGAATAATTTTTTTATCTGTGAGAAGTTTGTTTTATAATCCCAATTAAAATAGGGACTATATGTCCTCTTTTAATTCCCATGTGAATTGTAGGTGGCTAATGAAGTATTTGTGACTGTGCTTGTGCAGAACAGATGTGAAGTAAGGTGTATTGTGCCATGCAGACTTACTTATTTCCAGAAATGTATTCTCACATTTTAAAGCACTGTCATGGTTTATGTCTGTGTCCCCCAGGCCTCATGAGTTTGAATTGTGCATTTGTTATTCGTTCATTGTCTAGTGCTTGGATTGATGGTGTCAGTGCTCCACCCACAAAGGGGTGGAGCCAGGATGTGATGTAATGGCAGGAAGGTGTGTCTTGCTCCTTGCGGGTTCCTGTTTGCTGTTGGCAGCCGCTATGAACTGCAGCCCAGCCAGGCCCACCTGTCTTGGAGCCAACTAAGTGTGGAATGAAACCTCCAAAACCTGTAAGAAATAAACCTTTCCTTTCCCAACTTGGGCTTCAGGTATTTTGTCTCAGCAGCGAGTAAAATTAGTAGCTAAGATAAGAACTTTATTGTGAAAATTTAAAGCCTATAAAAATGCTGCAAGATTTTTTTTTAATAGCATTAATCTGTATTTCTTCAGTTAACATTTTTTGTATTTACTTTATATTTTCATAAATACATTGTGTCATGTATGTGTGGATAATTTTTGATGAGAATTGTAAGAACAGAGTCCATTGTCCTCCAGTTTGTCTTTTATGACATTGGCATTTTTGAGGGAAAGTTTAAGAAAACTCTTGCCATTTTTGTAGAAGTTCCTCAAGTTTGCCTGATTTGCCTCCTTATATGTAGATAAAATAAATCATAAATGTAGCTCTTCAGTGTGTCACATCAACAGGCAGTTTTATTAGTAGTTAATGCTGATCATATGACTGCAGAGGTTTTCCTACCAAGCTGACCATTTTCCAATTTTTTTTTTTTTTTTTTTTTTTTTTTTTTTGGTACCAGGGATTGAACTCATGACCTTGTACTCACCAGGCAGATGCTCATGTTGCTGAGCTAAATTCCCGGTGCAAGCTCACCATTTTCCCTTTGTCACTACTAATTATTTTGTGGAGCATCCTTTGGTCATTTATCAACAAACTCTTACCCAATAATATATTATCACTGATGGTTGCCTCAGTTAGTGATTGTGTTGATTATAAAGTGTTGTTTCTAATCTTTTATCAGTACTTCTCAGAAATTTAAGCAAAGGCCTTTCTCTTTTTTGTATCAGTTTAGACTCATGGATTCTTTAAAATGTGTTCTTAGGGTGGGCATGGTAGCACATAGCTGTAATCACAGCAGTCTGGTAGATTGAGACAGGAGGACTGCAATGTGGAGCTTAGTCTGAGTAACTTGTTGATCTGTCTCAAAGGTTGTAGGGGGTATTATTTCCTGACATGGCTAGTGAGTTGGTTGCCCACGTTCTTCTCATAGCCCCAGTAATTTTTTGAGCACTCTTTTGTTTTCTGATAGAGGATAATGTTCTAGGCTTATCTTGTATTTTCCTTGTCCCACTCTGGATTTTTAGTGGGTGTGCCATTTAGAGGCTAAAATTAGTAACAGAGTGAAGTTGTCACACTGACAGTGGGCAGTCATTTCTTCTAGATATTTTCAGCATCCTGTTAGGAAATATTTATACAAATAAGTGTTTAATAAATATGTATTCTAAATACATATTTATTATGTTTTTAACATCATGAGTTCAAACTTAATTACAAAACAGTACCATGGGTTCTTTGTATATTTATGCCTCTTCCTATAGTAGCGAACTGGGCTTCCATTGCCCTGAATGTATTTTGCTCATTTGCTGCAGTGCATGAAAGTTTCAAAATCACTATAGCTGTGTCAACAATAAAGCCTTATAAGTAAAGCTCTGAACTTTTTCCTAGTTCTTTTTGTCTTTTAACAGAAAGTACGTGGTTAAATCACTTAGATTTAGTAACTGAGTGGTTATATTCATCAGTGAGTCCTTTGTGTAAGCTTACACATTATGTAAAAAAATTTCCCATTCTTTATTGACTTTATTTTACTGCATGTGCAGTGGATCAATAGCTGCACCAACACTGGAGATTTAAAGTTGAGAGTAACGGTCAGCTGTGGTGTACTGCTCCAAGATGCCTCATGGTGTGCTCTTCACTCTGATGAGAGGCCAGAGCTTTACTATTGAGGATTTTCCCTTGCTCTAGGCCCATGGCTCCACAAGTCTTTCAGCATAGCCTGGTGTCACATTATTTCAAGGTCAACTTAATGTGACTGTGGATCCTCCATTAAAACAGTACTATGGTTAGGCAAGTTTCCCTGAAAGGCCTCTGAGTTAAAAAGACTTGGCCATCGGAATGTGGCACAAAGGAAGTTGTGAGATACAGGCTGGTGGGAGCAAGTTAGGTAATGGGGGATGTGCCCTTGAAGGGATCCCAACCCCTTTGTTTCTCTGCTTCCTGACTGCAAAGAGATGCACAGGTCTCCACCACCACACACTTTCACCATGACAATACTACCACAGAGCCAAAGCAACAGATCCAAACCACCAACGGTGTGATGCTTTTAATTCTTGTGGGCAGATACCCAGAAGATACATGAACACACATGTTTATAGTGACACAATTTGTAACAGCTAAATCTTGGAAGCAACCTAGATGCCCATCAACCAATGAGTGGATAAAAAAGATGTGTTTTTAAAAAAATATATAATTATTACTCTGCCATAAAGAAAGACACATTTATAGCTAAATGGATGGACCTTGAGTCCATGATCATAAATGAAATCGGAGACACATGTAAATACCACATACACTCAAGTGCGTGAAACTGAAAATGTAAATAAGAGCATAAATGTATAGTAGATATTGTGAAATAAACTTCAAAAAGAAAAAAGAAATGCGGAAGGAAGGGAAAAAATGAGAAAAGGATAAAATGAAAACCCTTGCTTTGTGAACAGGGAAGCTAAGGGGGTTTGAAAAGGGATAGGAATGGGAAAAAAGAGGAATTAATATATATCATGTACAGATACATATTCCTTGTAATGAATTTGGTCATTAGGTGTACCTAAATTGTACCAATAAATTTTTTTAAAAAGACAAAAGAAATTAAAGTGAAAAGACCACCCACAAAATGGGAAAAAGAATCTTAGCTAGTGCTCCTCAGACAGTGAACTAATATCTAGAATATCCAAAGAACTGAAATATTGGCATCTGAGATGTTTACATAGTCCTCGGATGAAGTACAAATGGCAAATATATGAAAAAATGTTCAACATCACTGATCAATTGAGATGCAAATTAAAACAACACATTACATTTCATTCCATAAAGAATACTATTATAAAAAAATTGACCAATAATGAATGTTGGTAGGGCTGTCCCTTTTCCACTGTTGGTGAGAGTGTAGACTGGTGCAACCACTGTGGAAATTAGTGTGGAGATTCCTGAAAAAGCTAGGTTTGGAGGTTCCATTTGATCCAGCTGATCCCCTTCTAGGTTCTAGTTATCTTCCCAGCATTAAAAGCATCATACCACAGTGATACATGTACACCCAAGATTATAGTGATGCAGTTTATAATAGCAAAATCTTGGAAACAACCCAGATACCCATCAACCGATGAATGGATAAAGAAGTTTTACTATAAATGAGTTCCAGTTACTCTGCTATAAAGAAAGATAAACGAGGCATTTATTAAGTGGATAGATTTGGAGACCATATTCTAAAGTGAAATAAATCTGACACACATGTAAATATCGCATTATCTCACTAGTGTGAGAAAGTGTAAGTAGGAACAAAATTGTATAAGATATGGTGAAATGGGAAGAAATAGTTCAAAAGGAAAAGCAAACTGGGGAGAGGAGGAAAAGGAAAAATGAGAAAAAGAAAATGCAAACAAAGCTTTGTAAAGGAGGGAAAAGGGGCAAAGGGAGGTGAGGGGAATGGGAGATAAAAAAATCAAAATATATTATGTACAGGTACAAAATCTCTGTGATGAATGTGATCATTGTATATAACTAAATTGCACCAATAAACTTAATTTAAAAATAAAACCAGCAGTTGACTAGCATAGAAAATTGGTACCAAGCAGTGGTTCTTATCGTGACTATAAATGACAGTGTTGGTCAGAAGCTTTTGGAATTTGCTTGTGCAAAGAATTTGGAAGTCAGAGGTGGGCTAGAAAAAGCTAGAATGTTGTTAAGCATAACACTACTGGTGATTTTACTAGCTCAGGTGCTGACTGGAGCCAGGTATGATGGTTCATACCTGTAATCCCAAAACTGGGAAGGCTGAAGTAGAAGGATCACAAATAGCAGATTCTGTGTCAGAATCTCAAAACAAACACTGAGCATGTAGCTTAATGCAAAGGCCCTCCTGGCTTCAATCACCATCCAGTGATTGTGAACAGTTAAAAGGAATATGCTGATAAGGGCTGTATTGAAAATTTGACCAGTAGCCACTTGTGTTATTTTCTGACAAAGGTGTGGCTACATTTTGTCCATGCCTTACCTTGAAACTTTTTAGGAGACCGAGTTTAAAGGTAACAGGAGGAAATCTCAAGACAGCATACAGTCTAGGGCATGGGTATTACTAGCTGATTTTATCCAAAATTTACAGTGATAATCAGGAGCAGAACAGTAGATTTGGGAAACTGCAGACGCTTTGGGGACAGTGGAGTTTTCTCATTGTGTGTTGTGCAGGAATACTTTTCTCCACTGCCTGCACCTTAAGAGCAACCCCTACACACACATACCAAATAAAAACCCATAAAGCACCACCAAAATCAAAAATGCACAGCAAACAAAACCCAGAAACAATGAACAGAGGGCTGTCAAGTGCCTGCATTTAAGCTGAGATAATGTCAGTAGTGGGAGAGGTCAGAGGCCCTGTTTAGGCTTTAATGGACCCAACCCTGCCATGAGTTATACAAATTAGTTGTGCCCAGGTAGGTTTGTCCACAAGCCTGTGTTCTCACCATGGAAAGTAGTTACAGAGCTCATGAGGCGGGCAGGATGAACTAAAAGTTTGGGTACTGGTGAGGTGAGGTGGTCTGCTTCCCTGGGAATGTTTGCCATACAACCTATGCAAAGTTACTACCACATGCATCAGTGTTGTACACAGCAGTGCCAAGATAATAGCCAGGTAGTTTTTTATGAGCTTCTGGAACAATAAGCATATCCACACTGCAACTTCGGTTGCAGTCTTTTGGCCGTGTTTTGGCCTCCCCCAGCTAGTTCTCTCTCTGGTTGAACTGATGCTTTTGCTTCGGTGCTGGTGTTTTACAATGTGATCAGCCTAGTCAAAAATCTTGTCTTCAAGGTGAAGAATAGTCAGATGCAGTGTTACTGTGAGTGGGAGTTGATAAACTCAGATTTCACCTGACAAATGGGAATATTTTTTTCTTCCTTGTTCCAAAGGATTTCTGGAGAGCTGTGGTGTTATTCTTCTGTTGAGAATTACTGGTTCTTATAGTCTTACAGTGCTTCAGTCAGGAAACAATCCCACAAGTAGTAGCTGTGTAGTAGCTGTGGCTTCCTGGGCACTGATTGCCCCAGTCCGGGCTACTGAGGAAAAACTGCCACATTCTAGTGGGTAAAAGCAGCCTCAATCATTAAGTTCTGATTGTTTACCTATTGTCCTGGGTGGTGAAGATACTTCCACTGTGTATTCTCAGGAGCCAAAAGATGGTCTTCACAAACTGGTACCTGCTGGTTAGGTGGTCCAACTCTGTAATCTCAGTTATTTGAGAAGTTGGGGCAGAAGAGTGCAAGCTTGAGGCTAACATGGAATTTAGTGAGACCATCTCAAAACAAAACAAAACACCTAGAAATGTAGCTTAGTACATCTCCTTCCCTCCCCCCATGGTTTTTGATAAAGGTCCTCATAAAGCAAGCAGAGCGGAACGAGCAGAGACAGAGCACTGAGTTTGATCAGGTAGGAGATGCCTGAGCAGGCACCAAATATGGTTTGCTAAAGACACCCCTGGTTTTTCCTAGCCCATGGACTCTTACCTGGGAGCAGGTAATAGCAACTGAAATAAAGAAGCAACTCCAGGAAGCTTTAAAGGAATTCAAACTAGAAATAATCTCCCAGGTAAAAGAATAAATGATAAAAGAAATGAAAGAGATGCTGAACATATCTAAAGACACAGTTAAAAAATTGGAGGAGCTAAGCAAAAAGATAGAATCCCTGGATGAACAATATGAGAAACAAACAGAACATATAAAGCAGATGCAAAGAGATACAGGAAATCAAACATTCCATTGATAGCTGTAAAAACCACTTCAATGAAAGTGAAGGTAGAATTTCAGACCCTGAAGACAAGATTTCAGCTAGTGAACAGGAAAGGAAAGATCTTTTAAAAATAGCAAGAAATCAGGAAATAATTCAACAGCTAAAAGACAATGCAAATAAAAACATAAGATTAATAGGGATAAATGAAAAAGAAGGGGACAATATAAAGGATGTCAATAGGATATTTAGAGAAATAATAGCTGAAAATTTCCCAAACATGAGATTGGAAACTGACATCAGGATCAGTGAAACATAGAGAACGCCAAATAGCCATAACAAAATAAAACTACACCCAGACATATAATAATCTCCCTCCCAGAAATCCAACAAAAGAACAGAATATTAAAAGCTGTCAGAGAAAAAAGACAAATCACTTACAAAAGGAACACCTATCAATCACAGCAGACTTCTCAGCATAAACAGTAACGTCAAGAAGAGAATGAAGTATTTCAGATCCTAAAGGAAAACGGTTTCCAACCTAGACTGATGTGCCCTGAAAAACTGTCCTTCAAAATGGACAAATAAAATACTTCCATGACAAAGAGCAGCTGAAGAACTTCATAATCACCAAGCCAACCCTGCAAAGAATGCTGAAAG